ATTGAAAATTCAAACAAGTTAATTTAGTGAAATTTGTCTTATAATATGTATCTTATAATATATATATTATAATTATAATTCAACAACTTTTATTTACGTATATAGGAAATGTAAAATTAAAATTTTTTCGTTCAAGGAAAAGATCTATTAAACTATCCCTCCTATGGATAGTCGGCACGCTTCTATCCTGAGGATTTAGTACACACACGAACCACATCTACTTTCGACGATACAATTTTATCGATAGTGTCAAAAAATGTATGTAGTCACGTAGTTCCCAAACTGAAAATGGATGTACTGGCGGTAGTGTACGAGCGATTTCGACGGTAACAAGAAGAAGGCCTGCATGGCCTCTCTCAGGTAACAGAAATTGTAGGTATGTTTCTTGGTACATCTGTCGTCGATAAAGGCAAGAATATATAATAACAAGAATTTACGTTTACTGATTTTGCAGACATTTAATGGTCGAGTAATAACGATTGTCGATAATAATTAAGATAATTGAATACACTATTAAATATCATATATTTATTGGTCTAAAATATCGCTTTTAATAGATATTAATTTTAATAGATGATTATATTAAATTTTCCTAAAATATTTATTTTTATGAATGTCGTAAGTTTTTTTGATAACATAGATTTCTATGTAAACTACCAATGATATGTTTAATTAATTTAATAAAGAAGATAATCAATATATGTATATAATATTTTAAATAGATGAAAAGATAACGTTAAATAGATTAAAAAAAAAAATTGCAAAAAATTATTATATATATTAATCCTGTTATGTAACTGTATTTACAATATATATCTTTTTCATATTTAATTCTACGTTATTCTCTCAACATCAGTAAATTAAGTTCATAAAAAAAAGTAATGAAACATTTTTTTAATAACGTAGATATTGTAATGATAATGATCGCAATTTTTACACAACCTATTTACGCAAAATAAAAATCAGAAGTACTTTAATCGTAAATCTAGATCGCTCCGTAATTTATGTTAGATTTGGAAATAATGTTAGCACATTCTTTCCTCAATCGCGAATTCGTTCCACAATCGTAACGTAAAAGTGAAATTGCGAGAAGATCGTGCAATGGTCACTCGATAAATATTTGAAAACTTGGATTGGTACAGTGGACTGGTACACATGCCGCGTGTTAAAGATTTCGCGCGTATCGCATTACGACAGATCCGCGTCATAAAGAACGAGAGCAGCCTTGCTGTTGCATTGAATGCGTTGTTGCACACTGTTTATGGCCCCCCACGGAACCCCGTCGCTTTTCTAGTGAATCTGCTTTTATTACCGTCTAAATAAAGTGCTGCGGCATAAATTGCTTGTTATAGTGGACAGTCCAGTGGTGCAATGAAATTTAATATATACCTAAAGTGTGCATAACACTCTTAGTTTCTTTTTATTTGTTTTATCGTATACATATCTGCACAAAATGGTCGAACAAGGATTGGAGATGGAAATGATTAGCCGGCAAATTCACACAGTCTATGTGAATAAGACCATTAAAATGCGAAAAATATTTATGCGATACGTTAACAATTATACTATGCTGCAATTATACTATAGCATTTTTAATTGGCTGCAGCAGCCAATTTTTGGTTGTTGCAGCCAATTTTT